AGCTATCTTGTGCCTCGAAGTGCTCTAACCAATGTGCATGACATCGCTGTTGAATGGGAATAGGCGAGCCGTCAGCTTCATGTATTGTTTCGCTCACACCGAAGGCTTTCCCACCGGTAACCCGGATGAGATTAAACAGCTCATGGGGATTTCACAAGTTAGGTGGCAGCACTTTCCACATCTGACGCGTTGGCTCCACTAGATCTCGCGGTCTCTGCTGAGGCTTGTTTTAAGTTGACGTCTTGGTACAACATCTTCATATATTTTCACACACGTCTGAATCTAAACTGTGTCGAACAAATCACAATACAATAATCCTTATTACAAAGAAAAACGTTCCATGATTAGCATGTGAGCGGAATACTGTCAGGTAGCCCAGGCCAAGGCAGGTAAATTTTCCTGAGGGATCCACATCACGAGCCTTCGGCTAGCCAAAGCCTGACCCGCTAGGTGGCGGGGCAGTGTGTGAAAACTGCAATCCACTGGGGGCCGGTGTCCAGTCCATCGAATCATACGCCTTTCGGACGGGGTCCAACGTTTGAGGTGCTCAATACACCTCGATGCCCAATCGAGCCGGTGACCAGAGCATTGTTGATTAGCGGCTAGTATTGGTTGATGTTATCGGTTGCCTTTGGTTCTAGCTTTTGAATTATTACACTCTGAAAGAGAGTGAAGCAAACTGTTCAGAACAGCTTACAGTCTTATAGTCTAACCGTAACTGTTTGATGTGTTTGGAACGCGCACCGAAGCAAATGGACAGCTTTGTGCATACTAATGCGTGGTTGGATTCCAGGATAGTGCGCTGGTACGATCGGCAGTCTTGTATGCAATCTCACCATACGTGGTTTTCAACGATGCGGTCGATCTGCATTTGTCGTTGACTCGAAGATTGCGGGCACAAATTTTGCCTACCGGCAATCGGGTCATCTGAACTGCCTACTGTCGTCCACGACCACTTATTCGGGACTTGCAAGCCCAGCTTATTGTGAGATTACGGTCGGTCTCCTATTTGCAACCTGGGCACTCACTCAATGGCATTCAGCTATGCTCTCTTACAGTTCGGAATCGGTCGCTAGCCTCGCGCGCCTAATGCGGAACATGGATGGCACAGTACCTTACTAGCTGAAAGATGCCTTACTTTGGCGAATGGTAGTTGTTCACCGTCGAGTGAAGCCCCGGGTACCCCGCTTCTTGGTCCATCCAGGATTTTGGCCTGTAAATTGCTTCCCCCTCTCTGTTTACCAGCCGGTGTGACCTCTTCAGGGGTTATAGTGATTAGTCACATGTCGCCAGGAGGTCTCCAGGCAACTGGCCTCGTGAGATTGAGCTTTGTTCGGCCTCTACCCCTCACCCGTTGAGACTTCATTGGATTTATGGCTGTTTTTTGCGGTCCTGTACAGCTCTCATGGCTATGGCGCACGCAAGTCTTTACGCCACGTCAATCCATAATTCTGTCGTAATGAACAGGTTGATTAGTCTTCTTTTCATCCATGTCCTAACTGAGCTCTCGGACCGTGCCCATGAGTTGAATTCCATGTGGCTTAGACTAATGCCATAATTTTTCTCTCGCTTGCCATAGCACCAAGCAGCAATTGGTCATGGAACATATTGGCTGTTGACGCGGAAATTCCTTAGGTCGATTGGAATAAGTATTCCTCAGAAAGTTCCCTTGTATCATCGTTTGAATTGAACTGTTATAAAAGCTTTCTTGCCAAAAACTTTGATCGTTTCTTTCTGTTCTTTATTTTATCGAGTATCTTTCTACACGGAAACATTCACAAAGGCACGTTTGAATAAACTTGATATTACTGACCGATTTACTCATCCGATCGGCACCAGGCTACACAATCTCAATCCTTCGAATCCCTCCGGTGCATAAATATTGTATACACGCATGGTCGTCTGGGAAGAACGGAATTCACCGTAGCACAGTGTGACGACGAATCGTTGATAAAGGTTTCTGTAGATTATGTCCACCCGGAAGCATCCGCATCGTTAATCGTTACGTTTTCATCAGTGTTCACTGTGCCTCGCAAAACAGATGTAATTTTTGTCAGACCAGTTTGGCAAACCAATTAAACTGAAATGAGTTCAAACGTCCATTGCGATGAAAAACTGGGCAATAAGCAATCGGACTTTTGACTTCATCGTCGTTTGTCACGCCATACTGGTCAGTCTAACTCAACAACCAGGAAGTTCTTCTTCCTTATTTTGCTAAACTAATTGTTTCTATCTTCTCCGATTTAATTCCGAGTGTGTATTCTTGTGTATTCTTTTCAATCATTTGCATTCCGTTTTGTTTTCAGATGAACAAGAACCAGTAACGCACAAAGGAACCACCGTACCAGTATCTGAGACGTCAAGCGAAACGGAACCGCAAACCACTGCGGAATCGATTGCGCCCCATTTACACCACACCTCTCGTCATGTCACACGCGGTTCTGGAACCCGATCTGGAATATCTAAACCGGATTCGGATGGTGATTCAGTTACGGCTATCAAGTTACCAATCTCACAGACATTCACTAGTCCGTCCCAGTTAGAAATTATTGTGCAAACTGCATTTTCTCCCTCCATAAAACAGGAAGATCATACCGGCTTTAAGCGACAGTCGACTTCTATCTCCGGAACAACGAAGATCCCCTCAGATAATCCTCAGGTCATCGGAAGGTCACTTAGGCCCCGAGCGACTGTTTCCTTGAACTCGCATTCACAGAGCCCTGTTCGCTCGATCGCCAGTACCGTGGAACGTGCACGGTTATCCCCAGATCCTGTTTCAACTGATCGATCGCAAAATAGCGAGACGAGCTCGGTTAAATCTGCTAGTAAGACTGCCGGATCCCGCCGTATGTTGAGACCACGGCTGTCTCAAGTTCAGTATAAATAACCGATGTTTCTGTCGAACCATGTCCTTTATTTTGTTTATTTTTGTGTTCCAGTTGAAATGAAAAATAAATGTTATGCCTTTTTCTTCCTCGTTTTCGCTCAGTTTCACTATCTGGTACCCAATTCTCATGCTCATCTCCGTCTATTGCTTGCTGTCTGTCTTCTGCTATTTTAATACAAACGTTTAAATAGTAATTGAAAATTCATAGGGATGATAAGTCCAGTGTAGCATCCAACCGCTTGAATCCAGATAATGTGTGCCGTTCTGAATTAAACTCTCTAAAAAATCAGTGTTTCGTTTCTGTGTATGTTGAAAAACATGAGCATTAAGACGAAGCCAAGATAATGAAATACAACAGTGCTGCTATTCAGGACAACCAACCGTGTCTACTGTGTTCCCTTTCATAGACAGGCTGGTCCTGTGTGAACCTTAGCCCGGTAATCTGGATATCCATGCACAACATTGTTCTGTTAGTAATGTGAACGTGTCGAATAGTAGTCCCGAAATGATTGCTTTCAAGGCCTTTTCGAACAGATATTTTTTGCAGCAAATACTGCACACAAACGTTCTCTGACCAATCTGTACAGATCGAGTGTTTGGCTCGTAGCTGGACACCGGTTTCTTTTAATCTTTCCCGAGTGATGCTGTGAACGCCATGGTCAGAAATTTATATCACGCCATTACAAATGATACGTAAGGACAACACTCAGGGGTTAATTAGAAGCTGACAGATAATTATTCACGATCGGTAACTGTGTGTATTGTTATGCACATCAGGTTAGGTTTTGACAACCGGTAGTCGCTGTACATGTGACTCAGTTTCGAAAAGTACAGTATATCCGAACACCGTCCACTCCGTGGTGTCGCACTCACATTGAACGAGTAAGCCGGCAAGTCTACTCGTTTTGCATCAATCCCCCTCGATCGACTAGCATACTTCCGGAGATCCACCCAAATCCATCTGCTATTGCAGTTTATGTTGCGATCAGTGTCTCCGGAACTAAAATTCAGAACAATCTCCACGATGCGGTCAACCGAACACTAATATTTGACACTCCTTTCTTGAAGAGGAACGGAATGTCTACGCAAAACCCTCGGTTGAGTCCTTTCAGCACGTCCTTGATCAGCACTAAACGACTGTTGATTGCCTTGTCAGTTTCTGTGACCTCAGCAGGCTATTCCTTTGTAATACACGACTTGATAGTCAAGTGGCGTTCGTACTGCTCACCAAGTGGATCGCACTTTGGTAAGGCAAGAACTGTCGTCTTCGGTTGAGGATTGTAGGACGTGTCACGATGATGAAACTGGGAACGAGAATGGGGCGAACCGTTTCCCCCTGGTCGTCTACTGTAAGGTCCTTTTTCTATTCACTGTGATGCCTTCTTTGAGAGGCGAATACGCATTGCAGCTTTAGACATCCAGTGAAAACAGAACGTTAGCAGAAACCGCTCCTCATTTGATCACTAGTGCACTCTTCCATCCGGTGGGATATCTGTAAATGAACAGCGGAATGCGATGGAAGCAACTATCCGAGAAGGTTTTATCGCCAGATAAGATGATAATTTCAATCAGCAGAAAAATAAGATTCCCGTAAGGATAATTCAGCTCTCCGCCAGAACATGTCCATGTACGTAGTTTCACCGGCCAACCAAGTTCCAAAGTGAAGCAAAACGCTCAGCTATACACAATCGAAATCTATTTTGAATGCATATTGCCGCAAACAGGGAAATTACTATGGCGATTAAAAATTACGAAAAGCTGTTTCACCTCATTTATTTGGCTTTCGGAGAGTGTAACCATCCCAGACAAATAAGTAGTTTGATAGCCTTGAGATTTTGACCGACGAAGTATACGGTTACATGGAGGACACTGCGAATCACGGTTAACGGTTAAGCAAGTAAATGGTCTGCATTTTCAGTCGCTTCGGCTCACACGCAATTAGTGCACGAAAATTTAGCTCGAATTATATTGAATTCACATCAGCCCCATCATTTCTCTCAAGAATTTGTAAATCAAATGCACGACGCGAACCTGTTCATATTTTCAGCCTCTCCTCACCCTATACCGTTGTGCACGTGGTCATGGTTGGGGGCGTCGGTTTCCGGTCTCAACGATGATTGGCGTCTCCAACCGGTGCCCTTTCGCATCCATCGCAGACCAGTCTAAGGAAGCTGATGTATTACCTCCATTCAAAAAGCATCGTGATTCCCTGTCAGTTCTCCGAGCCCTCGCATCTTGTGTTACTCCTACGGCCGAAACACCAGATTTTCGTCTCGGTGGAGATCCTTGGCTTGGCTCGATGCCAAACACCCGGAATTTTCTACTGGCTAGAGCTAAGGGCCGACTAGCTGCTCGTTTGGCTATTCGAGACTATTTCCCTAATGATATTGTTGCTGTAGCTAAAGAGGTGAGTTTGGGGGAGGGCGTATTTGCTTAATCGTTTTGGCTTACTTAAGTTTCATGCGCTTGGCCTAACAATGCAGTTTGATTTAGTTATTCCTAACATTGGCAAATGCTTACCTACTCTTAACGTGTGGCCCTAGGATTCATTGATTTCCTCAGTTAATTACCGAAATACGTCTTCGCTTCAGGCGTTTTTTGTCCTTTTCTTCGTGGCAGATCCCTCGTGTGGACCGGTGGCTCCCGCTTCAGACACCAGACAGCGTTTTGAAACGAGTGTCCGACGGTGAATTGTCCGCCAACGAAGGAATGGATCGGTTGCTACTTTTGATGGCTCCAATCCATGCATGGAAACTCCATGCAGATCTAGCCCCGGTAAGCAGGTGTTCTAACTCCATGAGAAGTCGCGATGTGAAGCACACAAATGTGGTGTGTGAAACGTTGTTCCATACCCCCGTTTAGCATCATCTGTGGTACAATAGTCCGATTTAGCCAAAATGTTACCATATCATTTCATTCACATTTCTTTAACCTTTTACAAACTGTTGTTTCTGTTCCGTTTTTACATCTAAAACATGTGCAACTTCGCGCAGAGGTTTTTGTTGCTATCTTTTAGTTACCCACTTGGATAAAAGAGCAGAAGTAGGATTTTTATGTTGATAGTAGAGTCAAAGAAGATAGACAATTCATTAAGACTAAGATTACGAGGACGTCAAGTAGATGAACGAGCGCCACTGTTTGCGACAGTCGGTCATTTTACTCAGTTTCCCCAACCATTCATTACAATGATCCCGGGGTCTCCATCCAAGGGGTCTAACACCATATATCTGACCAAGTCTTCATTTTAGGATTCCCATTCCTTCACAAGTCTTGGTTTGACCACCATTTACTTTTTCCGTTCACTACCTACCTCAGCAAACATTACGTGCTATGGCATACACTCGGCCTCCTATACACAATTTGGTGTGGCAATAGCGCCACAGATGTCTTAGGTTGACAAATGTCAATCAATCCCCCTATTGCCTTGCCGAAACATCATTCGTGATGGGTCCGCCAGGCGAAGTGTTGCTCTCCTAGTGACAAAGTTCGTCCACTTGCTCTATTAATTTCTCAATGGGAAGCTGGACTAAATGTGTCCTCTAGTAACAGTTGACACTTTGAACTTGCAAAACGCATGCGGAACGTAGCAGTACTAGCACTCAAACTATCCAGGAGACCTTGCCGTTTATCTGGGTCTTCACTTAACAATACAATGCCGTCTGCATACCCAGATTAGACAGTCTGCCACCTGGGAGCAAATAGATACCACTATACCGGTACGAGGACAGGGCTACTTTCAAGATTTTGTCCATCACGAAGTTAAATGGAAGAGAAGAGAGAGCAAACCTGAAGGGCACCGCTGTCTTGAACTCGGGTGGGGAAGTGCTGAGAGTCCATCTCGGCTTCGGATAATTATATAAAAACATCGCGAAATCGGAATAAACCTCTCGACTCATCGTTCCGTATCTCTTGACCTTTATTGATCTGTGGAGACATATAGGAACTCAGTCAAGAACCGAGCGCTCAACCTTGATACTTAACGAAACTCCGACACCAGCACTGTAAGCGTCGGATATTGTAAAGCAAGGTTGGATCCTTAGGACGTAGATT